GAGGCTGGGGAAGGAGGGAATGGCTGTCGAGAGAAGGAGAGGCTTGGGGACAGTACCAACCCGGCCTCCCAGGGGACTTTTGCCGGGGCAGGGCTGCTGAGGTGGGGCTGGTGACTCACAGATCCCCCTTCCGGGATCATCCTGGCTTCGAGTCTCGGATATCAGCTCCAGGAAATGAATAATAGTTGCCAAGGCGCCTGGGTTGTGCAACTCTATTCCCCTCAGGCCCCTGGGAGAGAGCCAAGCAGCTGCCCTTTGCCTGGGCCGCCTCCTCTAACAGCGCTATGGTTCCACTTTAGCTGCCATGGCAACACCCTAGGGCATCCTGGGATTTGTAGTTTAGGCCATTCTCAGCCACAGCACACTCGGGCCTTACTGAACTGCAAGGCCCAGAAGGGCACAGGATGTTGCCATGGCAGTTAGAAGTGGACTATAGGGCTATAACACTGTTGTGTGGTACAGCACAGAGATAAAGCAGTTTGACACCACTTTGGGCCTTTGCAGACTGCCAGAAATAATGCAGATTGAGGTCACTTTAACTGTCCTGGCTCAGTGCTAGGGAATCATGGGAACTGTATTTTTTTCTGGGACATTGAGCCTTCTCTGTCAGAGAGCTCTGATGCCACAATAAACTACAGTTCCCATGATTCCTTAGCACTAAAGTGACCTCAATCTGCATTATTTCTGGCAGTTTGCAAAGGTCCTATAACTGCCATGGCAACATCTTAGGGCATCCTGGAATTTGTAGTTTAAGCTATTCTCAGCCACAGTACACTTGGGCCTTACTAAAGTACAAGGCCCAGAAATACCACAGGATGTTGCCATGACAGTTAAAAGTGGGCTATAACACTGTTGTGTGGTACAGCACAGATATAAAGCAGTTTGACACCACTTTAGCTGCCATGGCAACATCCTAGGGCATCCTGGGATTTGTAGTATAGGGCGTTCTCAGCCATAGCTTACTTGGGCCTTACTAAAGTACAAGGCCCAGAAGTCCCACAGGATGTTGCCATGGCAGTTAAAAGTGTAATATGAGCAAGTCGCACTCTCTCAGCCTCAGAGGATGGCAATGGCACCCCTCCTCTGAAGAAACTTGCCAAGAAAACCCCATGATAAGGGGCCAATCACCTTTGGGTCACCATAAGTTGGAAATAACTTGAAGGCACACAACAGCAACAACAACAAAGGGCTATAACATGGTTGTGTGATAAAGTGGTTTGACACCACCTTAACTGCCATGGCAACATCCTATGCAATCCTGGGATTTGCGGTTTAGGGCAATTTCAGCCAGACCACACTTGGCCTCACTAAACTACAAGGCCTCAAATGCCACAGGATGTTGCCATGACAGTTAAAAGTGGAATATAGGGCTAAAACACTGGGGTGTGATACAGCGCAGATATAAAGCGATTTGACACTACTTTAACTGCCATGGCTTAGGGCTATGGAATCCTGGGATTTATAGTTTGGTGGGGGCACCACAGCTCTCTAACGGAAGGCTAAAGAGCTTACAAAACTAGAAATCCCAGGCTTCCGTTGCAATGTATCATGATATTTAAAGTGATGCCAGCTGGTTTATTTCTGCAGTGTGGCAGCAGCCAAGGGCAGTGAAGAGAAACAGTGATCCAGGAATTTCCAGCAAACTTTTAGGGAAGGGCTAGTAAAGCCTAGGAGGCAGTGTGGCATAGCAGTTTGAATGTTAGAGTACAACTTGAGACCAGGGTTCGATTCACTGCTCAGCCATGAAACCCACAAACTGGGTGACCTTGGGCAAATCACATTCTCTCAGCCTCAAGGGAATGCAATGGCAAACCTCCTCTTTAACATGTTGTTGGCAACCGGGTGGATTTGTTTGTTGATTTTAGTGACTTAAGAAGATGTGCTTATCTTCGGTCCTGAAGATGTTAATGAAGCTGGAGTGCCTCTACACTGTAGAAATATGCAGCGTGACACCACTTTAAATGCTTCCTGGGATTCGTAATTTTACAAGGTCTTCAGCCTTCCTTGACAAAGAGTTTTGGTGCCTCACAGAACTACAAATCTCAGGATTCTATAGGATGAAACCATGGCAGTTAAAGTTATGTCAAACTTCGTTGTTTCCACAGTGTAGATTCACCCCAAATTTTATACTTAAACAGAAAAGAGTACCAAGATTAAACAAGATAAACATCATTTGCAGGCTTTGTGACAAAGTGCTTGGTGACACATGTGCTCAAAGGAGTCTCCAAAATTTAGTAAGACCAACTATCTTTGTAAGACCAGCTGTGAGTACTCGAAATATTGTGTAATTGTTTATGAAGCAGTTTCCTAGCTCAGCCATGGAGACTCACTGAGTGACTTTAGACTAGTCACACTCTCTCAGCTTAAGAGAATGGCAATCACGGCCCCCTTCTGAAGAAACTTCCCAAGAAAACCCCACATAGGTTCGCTTTAGGGCCACCATGAGTCAGAAATGACTTGAAGGCACACAACAACAACAACAACAACAAGGACTAAACAAGTCCATTAGGTTTTGCATATATTACTGAAATCTCAGTAATAAACTAGCTTTAAAACAACAAATAGAAAGGAAGTGTGTTTTTCTTTCTTTTTTATATCTGAACAGTTTCCAAAGGCAGTTCCACACACAGTGTGTTACAGTAGTCCAAAAAGGATGAATCCCATTTTGGGAGAAAGGTGGGATACAAATCCAATAAATGAATCAAAATAATAAATCAAGGCATTAGCTAGACCTGGCTTCCCAAGGAACAGGCACAGCTGGCAAACTAGTTATAATTATGCAAATACACTCCTGGCCACAGCCAAAACCTAGGCCTCCAGGCTCAGATCTGCATCAGGAGCATATCCAAGCTGTGAACTTGAGATTTCATGGCAAGTATAAACCCATCCAGCCCGGGATGAATCCCTATTCCCTGATCAGCTTAACCAGGAACACCTGTCTAAATTAAGTTTCAATTTGTTCACCCGCACCCTTTACTGACATCAGACACAGGTTTAACTACAGAAACAGGTAGAGTTGGGTGTCATCTGCATACTGGTGACACTGCACTTCCAAACTCTGGATGACTTCTTCCAGTTGTTTCATGTAAATGTTAAACAGCATCGGAGCCAGAACCCAGCCCTGAAGGACATCACAGAATAAGGACC